TATTCAGAATATCACAGACTCAAGTAAAAATTGTCCACTTTTGTAGTTTGTCAGACGCTCTTCCAGTGCTGATTTAGTCTACATGGTCTCTGCTGTAATGATCCAGTAGTTTTTATGAATGATTCTTGGGAGAATGCACAGAAATAAATGGAGGAAAGTGTTCAGATATTCAAGTCTGTGATGAAGTCCATGGAAAGAGCCCGCAGAGAGCTGATAGAGTAGAATTAGGTGAGGGGTGCTGGTGAACAGAAGAGGCTTGAAGAACTTATCTAAGAGCTGAAGCAAGAGACTGAAGAAGTGGAGAAGAGAAACAATGAACTGCAGCAGCTGTCACAAAGCGAAGACCACATCCTGCAGGTCAGTGCACTAGTGATACAGCCTGGTCTTTAATATCTGACTTTACGCCATCATCAGTGGATGTATACCCTGTATTGAGGCATCAGCTAAGATGGAAAGTCTATTTTCATCCAAGCAGCCATGCAAGGTTATAAAGCTCATTACACATCAGAAAATGTGACAGGTGAGTTTTAAACTTTAATCATTTTTAAGACACTTGCTATGAATAATGGAAAGGAGAAAAAAGCTTTACCCATACTCTGCTGTTCATCATCATCTTTGAGGTCTAAGAGCCGCACTTTTACCTTAGCTTCTGTAGTTCACTGTGACTGTTTTTATTGGTGCAGATTTCAACTGCAGCAGGCATCTGATTAAGCCTCAGTCACGCAGGCCTACAAACCAGTTGGCACCCACTGTTCCTTAGGAGAAAACTAGGACAGTGTTTCCCAACCACTGTATCAGGGCACATAGGTGTGCTGTGACAAATGATCTGGTGTGACGTGGAAGATGATCTGGTTCCACCTGATTACTGCTCTAAGTGAGCGGTGTGAGTCACAGACTTAAAAACAGTTTTTACCACCAAGCCATACGACACCTCAACCACAACACTTAAACACACACAACACAGCACTCAGAAGCTACCTGCAGCTTCACAAGTACTCTGTTTAATTTGCACTGGTCACTTCACTTTATTGTTATTGATATTTATATTTAAAAGTGCAATACTGTAATTTTCTGCTGCTCATTCCTGTGCAATATCCCATCTGCCCTCCCGTCATATTTCTTTTCAAGATTTTCTTATTTAATCACTAGTGTACATATATTTATATTCATAGATACATGTATATTTAGTCATCTTTTTTCTTTTACCATGTCTCTCTAATATTTTGCACCTTACTTACTTTTATTTTATTTTATTATATTTTCACCTACTGTATCATGCTGCTGAGTGACTGCTGCTCGTCAAACACATTTCATTGCAATGTTGACCCTGTGCTAACTTGCATATGACAAATAAAACTAAAACTGAACTGAAACTGAACAGGCAGAATAATTACATTCTCTTCCACTAGAGGGCAGTACAACTACCTGCAGAAGAAATTACGTAGTAAAGTTGGTAGTAGGCCCTAGCATGAGTAGTGGTCGGAAGAAAGTAAAAAAGCTATACTGGGGACAAACCGAACCATTTCTGCTATACCTGATGCACAGGGAAAAAGATTAATATGCTTTTTGTGACATTTTTGGTTGGTGGTGTGCAATGTGTGTTTCTATTGTGAAATATGTGCCGTGGCTCCAAAAGGTTGGGAAACACTGCACTAGGAGGTAGGCATCCATAACTGTTGTCAATTTGTCTGCACATACTCGCCAGTTGCACACACACAGTAGTGAAACAGGAAATGCAAGGAGTTTGCCTTCAAAGTAAAATTTGTGCCTTGGTTTCAGTAATAAGTTACAACTGTTAATTGTTTTTGCAGGCAAAGACTTGCATGCAAAATATGGGCAATCACAGCAATCTGCTAGCAAACAAAGAATCATAAGTACGTTTTTGGTGTAGTGCCCTCTTTGCAACCATTTTCACCCACACATTTATCCAATACACATGTTTCTCTAGCAGCCAGTGGTTGATAACAGTTGCTGACCTGTCTCTAGGCCTGTGTGACTGAGGCCTCAATAAGCCAACTGGTGTGCTATGTCGTGCCCGCCACCAAAATGAACGCTAACCACCCAATATGCAAACTGAGGGGAGCACAATTTTAGTTTTAAAGTTCTTGGATTGCAAACAGAGAAGCTCTAAAGTGCCATTTAAAAATAATTAACACATTAGAAAACAAGAAAATATTGGCTGGACAAAACCAGATTAAAAAAGTCTCAAGAGTGGGAAATTTAGCCTGATAGTTTGTCAACTCTCTCTTCTCCTTTCCCCCCCTTACTTCTTTCCCTTCTCCTCCAACTGGTTTGAGCAGGTGGCCTTGTTCTCTTGAGTTTTCTTTCTCTTAAATGTAGCTGAGCTTGTTGGATTGTTGGAGTTTCTTTGCATGGCGTTGTGGGGTCTTTATCTCACAACAGGTGAACATACTCGATATGTTAACATTTACTAGTTTGCTGGTTAGAATAAGTTAAAACTTTAACAGCATTCTCATTACACAAGCATATGCACTTCATCACATTAGCAGGAGCTATAATACAAAATTTGCTTCTTCTATTCAGTCTTTTCATCAAATGTAAAGACATACAAATTGGATGAATTTATGATGCAACGCTGTCTATGTGAAGTAGGTCCCTGACTTTGTCTTGGTCAGAGCATGCTGATTTTCCTAAAATGGGGTTTAAAAAGATGACAGAAGGAGTTAAAGACTGGCTGAAAAATGTTGGCTTTGGACTGTTTCTGACCCCATGTCTTTGACAGTGTAATGGGTGGAAGGGGATTTGATGGAAATGCACATGAAAGGAACTGATAAACTATGTTGTCACGAAAGGTGATTTGAGCACAGCAGGAGATTTGATAAATAGAGCTATTTTTGGCAATTTATTCCCTGCCATGTATCACTGAAAACATCAACAGTATAATTTATCACCCTGGTTATTATCTCCCGTCTTCACCC